AGAAAGAGTTATTGCCAATTTTACATAAACTCTTCTAATCTTCAACTCTGGTAGGGAAAGGAATTTATTGGGAGGGTATTGAAGAGCTCTCTGAGCAAAAGACTTGAATGACCTGGAAAGGGATGTAAACTAAGGCAACTTTGGAAAGCCAGGAACCGAAACCCAACCATCATCTTTTATCAGGATTAGTTTAGCTATAATGACAGTTATTCTCTTACCACCGCTCTTGCGGGACACCATTTTCACTGGATGCTACCGCCGTCACTATCATGAGAAACCATTCTAGCTATCATGAGTGAATCCTAAGCAGGCTTTTGTCTTTGTTTCTCAGTCTTCACATTCAAAGCCTTGAGTTGAGGCAGAGTTTAAGTCAAACACAGTGTACTGGGCTTTTGGTTCTCACAGAGTGCGAGGGGTCTTGTATAAAGAGAGGCCAGGTATTATGTAGTAGGAAGCAGGTCACTTCTATGACGGGAGCTGTAGTCCTTTGTCCTACTTACAGGCAATGTGCAATTCTTCCTTTCCAATTTGTATGTCTGTCTGCTTTTTCTTGCTTTATGGCATTCACTAGTACCTCTAGTACAATGTTAAATAGTATTGGTGAAAATGAACACCTTTGTCTTCTTTCTGCTCCAAGGGAAAGCATTTTGTTTTTCACCATTAAGTTTTACAGTTCCTGTTACTCATGTGCTGAGACCTTTTATTATAAGTGAATGTTGAAATTTTGTCAAATGCTTTTTCTTCATTTACTGAGATGATTATATGTGTTTGTTTTTTGTTTGCTAATATGACATATTGATTGATGTTTGAATGTTGGACAAATCTTGCATTATTGGGCCATGCTGTATCTTTTTTATATATTGCTGAATTCTGTTTGCCAATAACGTTGTAAGAATTTTAAAATTTTTTTCTTTTTCAATAACTTTGATATCTTTGTAAGAATTTTAGGTCTGTTTATAAGAGGTATTGATCTCATTGATCCTTCGGTTTTGTTACCAAGGTAATGCTGTCTTTATGAAACTAATTGGAAAGTATTCCATCCATCTCTATATTTTAGAAGAGTTTATGTAGAATTGGCAATAATTCTTTCTTAAATGCTTGGTAGAATTCACCAATGAAGCCATCTGTGTTTGGAGTTTTCTATGTGGGAAGTTTTCAAACTGTGAATTCAATATTTTACATAGATACATTAGATATAATAAATAATAGATATATTAAATAGGAATATTCAGGTATCGATTTCTTTTTTAGTTATCCTAGGCAGTTTGCATCTTTCAAGGAATTTGTTCATTTCATCCAAGATGTGGAATTTACTGTCTTAAAGTCATTCATAATTCCCTTATTATCCTTTTAATGCTTGTGGGGTATATAATGGTATCTCCTCTCTCATTCTTGGTATTGGTAATTTGTGTCTTTCTCTCCTCATTTTTCTTGATCAGTCAGGCTAGAATTTTATGTTTTTCTCTTTTCAAAGAATTAGCTTTTGAGCCAGGTGTGGTGGCTCACACCTGTAATCCCAGCACTTTGGGAGGCTGAGGTGGTCAGATTGCTTGAGCTCAGGAGTTCAAGACCAGCCTGGGCAATATGACAAAACCCCATCTCTACAAATAATACAAAAATTAGATGGACCCCAGCTACTCAGGAGGCTGAGGTGGGAGTATTGTTTGAGCCTGGGAAATCGAGGCTGTGGTGAGCCATGATTGTGCCACTGCACTTCTGCCTAGGTAACAGAATGAGACCCTGTCTAAAAAATAGAATTAGTTTTTTGTTTTATTGATTTGTTTTCATTATTTGTTCATTTCCTTTCCATTGATTCTTGTTTCTTCATTGTTTATTTCCTTCTCCTTACCTGGAATCTAATTTGCTCTTCAGTTTTTTAAGGTAGAAGCTTAGATCACTGATTTGACACTTTTCTTTCTTTCTGATATGAGCATTTAATGCTATAAATTACCCTCCAAGCACTATTTTAGCTACTACTCACAAATGTTGACATGTTGTGCTTTCATTCAGTTCAAAATTCCCTCCCTCCCTCCCTCACTGCTTCCCTCTTTCCCCTCCTTCCCTTCCTTTTCTTTCTTTTTTGAGATAGCATCTCACTCTGTCGCCTAGCCTACAGTACAGCTCGCTGCAACCTCCATTTCCTGGGTTTAAGCCACCACACCCAGCTAATTCTTTGTATTTTTAGTAGAGATGAGGTTTCACCATGTTGGCCAGGCTGGTCCCGAACTCCTAGCCTCAAGTGATCTGCCCCCCTGGGCCTCCCAAAGTGGTGAGATTACAGGTGTGAGCCACCATGCCTGACCCCCATTCAAAATATTTTCTAATTCTTTTTTCATTTCTTCTTAAACCCATGGGTTGTTGGATTTCCACATATTTGGGAGATTTTCCAGATAGCTTTCTGTTAATTTTTCTCTCATATTTTTGCCATCTGACTTTTTGATGTGTTTTATGGGAGAGACCACCCATTTGTGGAGAAAGTACTCTTCTGAGCCCACATTGTATGGGAGGAGCCCATGGGTCAGTCTGCAGGCTGCCAAGAGCATAGGCTGATGGGCAGGTGCATGAGTAGACTGGGCTGATCTCTCTTGACTGGTGTGAGAAATGGGGCCAGCCCTGCTGCCATCACTGCTGCATTCCAGTAGCAAGGCTGAGAATTGGAATTTGTTAGAAGTCTGCTTATGAGGCAGCCACCTCCCCTATTCCTCTTTTCCACCGTGTACCTAAGAACTCCAGCAGTCAAGCATCATTTACCCTTATTTAGGAAACAGAACCTTTTTCATAGAAATTGAATGGCCCCAGAGAACATCCTGATGCCAGAGCTAAATTTCTTGCAGGAAGTGCTGAGAGTGGACTCTTGGATTACCCCGGTAGATAAATAGACTTGTACAACAGAGGAGGTGGCCATTTTTGGTCTCCGCAGTTCCCTCTGCAAAGGCAGCCAAGGCCCGTAACATATTTCCTATTAGCTGCCTGTATTCAATGCACAACTTTACACTTGTGATCTGTATGTGACATGACAATACTTATGATAATAGAGAGCTGTCAATCTGATAAGGAGTGAGATCTGCCTTCTGAAAGGTGGAACCCCTTTCATAGTATCAGCACTGTCCTGTTAAATGCAATTTTGTTTTTAATGGGCCAGTGCTCTAAAACGTGAATGGGCAACAGATTTACAGATAATTTCAATTTTCTTCTCAGTGGATTTTGTGTGTGTGTGTGTGTGTGTGTGTGTGTGTGTGTGTGTGTGTTTTAATTGTACTTTAGGTTCTGGGGTACATGTGCAGATCATGCAGGATTGTTGCATAGGTACACACATGGCAATGTGGTTGCTGCCTCCATACCCCTGTCACCTACATCTGGCATTTCTCCCCATATTATCCCTCCCCAACCTCCCCACCCCTGCACTGTCCCTCTCTTGGCCCCCTCCAACAGACCCCAGTGTGTGATGCTCCCCTCCCTGTGTCCATGTGTTCTCATTGTTCAACACCCGCCTATGAGTGAGAACATTTGGTATTTGATTTTCTGTTCTTGTGTCAGTTTGCTGAGAATGATGGTTTCCAGATTGATCCATGTCCCTACAAAGCACACGAACTCATCATTTTTTATGGCTGCATAGTATTCCATGTGTATATGTGCCACATTTTCCTTGTCTAGTCTTTCGTCAATGGGCATTTGGGTTGGTTCTAGGTCTTTGCTATTGTAGAGTGCCACTATGAACATACATGTGCATGTGTCTTTATAATAGAATGATTTATAATCCTTTTGGTACATACCCAGTAATGGGATTGCTGGGTCAAATGGAATTTCTATTTCTAGGTCGTTGAGGAAGCACCACACTGTCTTCCACAATGGTTGAACTAGTTTACACTCACCAACAGTATAGAAGTGTTCATATTTCTCCACATCCTCTCCAGTATCTGTTGTCTCCAAATTTTTTAATGATCACCATTCTAACTGGTGTGAGGTGGTATCTCAATGTGGTTTTGATTTGCATTCTTTAATAATCAGTGATGGTAAGCATTTTTTCATATGTTTGTTGGCCTCATATATGTCTTCTTTTGAGAAGTGTCTGTTCATATCCTTCTCCCACTTTTGGATGGGTTTGTTTGTTTTGTTCTTGTAAATCTGTTTTAGTTCTTTGTAGATTCTGGATATTAGCCCTTTGTCAGATGGGTAGGTTGCAAAAATTTTTTCCCATTCTGTTGGTTGCTGATTAACTCTAACGATGGTTTCTTTTGCTGTGCAGAAGCTCTGGAGTTTAATTAGGTCCCATTTGTCTATTTTGGCTTTTGTTGCCGATGCTTTTGGTGTTTTAGTTATGAAGCCCTTGCCTATGCCTATGTCCTGAATGGTTTTGCGTAGGTTTTCTTCTAGGGTTTTTATGGTGTTAGGTCTTATGTTTAAGTCTTTAATCCATCTGGATTTAATTTTAGTGTAAGGTGTCAGGAAGGGGTCCAGTTTTCCCAACACCATTTATTAAACAGGGAGGATTTTGTGTTTTCTAACTGCTCCGCAATGAACATGTATTACTTCTGTGTTCAGATAAAATATTAAAAAATTTTAAAGATAAAAACTTGTAAAGTTGTAAAATAGGAACATCAGGACTAATCTAGTGAGCATGACTCAAGGAATAGGCACTCTGAAGCTAATGATTTAACAGCACACTGCGTTGATCATGATATCAATTTTGACTTCTCTGTGAAGAAAAATTGCAGGGGTCCTAAGAAAAGCCTTCTGGCTTCATTTTTCAGGTCAGAATGCCAAAGTAAACAAACAAACAGAAAAGGCTGAAACTACACTGTAGTTACAGATTTAACAGGACAGAGCGTTACTGTCTCTTCTCCTTTCCCCTTGCCCCTCATTTGCAGATGATCATCTTTCTACTGGCGGAAGGGCAGGAGATTTCTAACTTTCCTACTACCTTACTTTTAGAGAGGAAACAGGTGTCTATGTTCCATTTGTTTGCTAACCCAGTTGTTCCCTTTCTGTTATACCTACAGGCAGCTGGCTAAGAGTCTTGGGCAGGCTGGTGAAATTGAGCCTGAAACAGAAGGAATATTAACAGAGTATGGCGTGGATTTCTCTGATTTCTCTTCGGAAGTTCTAGAATGTCTTCCTCAAGGTCTGCCATGGAGAATTCCACCTGAGGAGTTCAGCAAGAGAAGGGATTTAAGGTAAGCACCTGAAACCCTTGAAGAACATATTTCACCCTTTCTGCCTTAACTTTCCTAGGGGCTAGGCTTAGATGTTTTCATCTTTCCATGAACATTCAAGTTCAGTTCAGTTGGGAATAGTGCTTTTGTACCACAGCTGGCAAATGATGGCCCATAGGCTCAATCTAGCCCACTACCTGTTTATGTACAACCCATGAGCTAAGCATGGTTTTTACATTTTTAAATGGTTGGGAAAAAATTAAAACAAGAACAATGTTTTATGAAAATTATATGAAATTCAGATTTCAGCAATCAGAAAGTTGCATTGGAACATGGCCATGCCTCTTTATTTTCTATGTTGCTTATGGCTTTTTTTTTGCACAGTAGCCCAGTTGATTAGTTGCAACCAAGACCATATGGCCAGCAAAGCCAAAAACAGTTACTGTCACCCTTTTATAGAAAAAGTTTGCTTACCCCTATTCTAGACCATTCTAATTTCAAAAGGTACAGTGCCCACTGCTATACCCCATAGGTTTGGTCAAGTGAAGACTTATCTAGTCAGAAGTGCTTTCCTTTAAACGGGCCTCTTCAGGCACACAGCAAAGGATTCAAGTCTTCTGTACTTGGAGCCTCATTTTAAAGCCTTACTTTTAGGTCTGGAATTTGTTGGAAAGTACTTTTGTGGTATTTTTATAACAACATCTTCTTTGAAGATGTTTCTTCATTGTGGGATGTTAGTTCTTTTCTGATATTTCTCTTCAGAATTTGGTTTCAGTACTGGCATTCATTTTGGATGCCACATGGAGATAGTTAGAACCAAGAAACTTTTCATACAACCCACTGGGGCTATGGAAGGTTTTTGCTAAGGTCATCCCATGTCAGAGTCATTTCCACCACACTTGCTCGCTTCATGCATCTGAACTTATGACACCTTCATCTCTGGGTGCCTGTTACCCAACTAGTTTGTGAATACTCCCTCTCTGCACCCTCGTACTGTTGTATCTTTTAGTAATTTACTGCCTTTTTGTTTTCTTATTGAGGTTAGGCAAGGAAAAGGAGATCATCCTTAGTCCTCTTTCCTACTTGTTAATATCTCTCATAGAACGCATATTACATTTGAAGTCAGTTAACCCATATTGCATTCCTGGATTTTAATAGTAACCTCTTTATCACTGAACCCCTACTAGCACATGTGTTGTTTCTTGAGGGGCTCTGAGGTCTTGGGCCCATAATGTTAACCTCTCTGAACCTTTGTTTTCTCTTTTACAAATTGAGGGGTTTGTTTTCTGAGGTCATTTCCTGAATCTAGGAATCTGTCAAATGATGTAGTGGGAAAAGAACGCTGCAATGAATTACTGACCCTTATTGTTTGAAGTATAATTAGTATAGCCATGCTGCAGTATCTATCAAAATTTTAAATGCACCTACTCCTGCACCGCAAACTCTACTCGAAGAAGTATACAGAAATATATGTACAAGAATGTTCATTGCTGTCTTGTCATAAAAGTTAAAAATTAATGACACTGCTAATGTCCATCAATAAAGGAATGGTTTAGTAACCTGTGTTATATCAATATGATAGCATTCCTTGCAGCTCTGCAAAAAGGAGCTGTATTCATGTTGACTTTCCTAGAAGAATGGCTATAATATATTATGAAATAAAAGAAGCAAGTTTCAGAACAGTATGAATATGAGCCTATGTTTTGTAAAGTAATACAAAAACTACATAAATGTACACATATACATATATGTGGATACCTACACACATAAATGTATATATGCATAGAAAAAGGCCTGGAAGGAAATAAACTGTTAACAGTGACTATCATGGATAGTGGATTCAGTGGAGTGGTAAGGTAATAGGGAAGTGAACTGTGACTTTTCCTTTTGCATACTGCCATACTATTCAAACTATTATTTTTAAGACAGAGTCTTACTCTGTTGCCCAGGTGGGAGTGCAATGGTGCAATCATCTTTCACTATAGTCTTGAATTCTTGGACTGAAGTGATCCTCTGCCTTTGCTTCCCAAAGTGCTGGGATTATAAGCGTGTGCCACCATGCCTGGCTAATTCTTTTATTTTACTTTTGTAGAGATGGGGTCTTGCTGTGTTGAGCAGGCTGGTTTTGAGCTCCTGGCCCCAAGAGATTTTCCTACCTTGGCCTCCCAAAGTACTGGGATTACAGGCATGAACCACTGTACTGGGTCCAAAATGTTTTTTAAAGTCACTTGTGTAACTTTTGTCACAAAATAGAAGTATTTCATTTTTTTCTAGCCTCTTAGCCTGCAGGTAAATAATAAGCACGTTAGTAGTTATGGGACCCAATATTGCTGTAAGTTCCCTCTCATGGCTCTACCTTGCCATTTCTTTGACCTTTATTGCCTTCTGGTTTAAACCATGGAATAAGAGGTCCTTAGTGAGACCCTGACTCTATTCAAAATAGAAAAATCAAACTCTTCTCCAGGCACAGTGGCATGTGCCTACTTGGGAGGCTGAGGCGGGAGGATTGTTTGAGCCTGGGTGTTTGAGGTTGCAGTGAGCTATAATCATTGCCACTGCACTCCAGCCTGGGCAGCAGAGCAAGAATCTGTTTAAGGGAGTAAAAGAAAAGAAAAGGAAAGAAAAGAAAGGAAACCTTTCTCTGCAGAAAGTGTCTATTAAAATATAACTTAAATACAAACACACACACATTCACACACTTCTGCGTGCCTTGTGAAAGGATCCAAAGACAGAAGGAGTTTGTAGGGTGCTCTTTGCAATTAATGAAGTAACAAGGATTTTTAAAAAAAATTACTTTTGAGCCGGGCACGGTGGTTCATGCCTGTAATTCCAGCACTTTGGGAGGCCGAGGCGGGCAGATCACAAGGTCAAGAGATCGAGACTATCCTGGCCAACATGGTGAAACCCTGTCTCTACCAAAAATACAAAAATTAGCTGGGAGTGATGGTTCGCACCTGTAGTCCTAGCTACTCGGGAGGCTGAGGCAGGAAAATTACTTGAACCCAGGAGACAAAGGCTACAGTGAGCCGAGATCGTGCCACTGCATTCCAGCCTGGTGACAGAGTGAGACTCAGTCTCAAAAAAAAAAAAAAAAAATTTTGTCTGGCGCAGTGGCTCACACCTGTAATCTGAGCACTTTGGGGGACGAGGTGGGTGGATCACTTGAGGTCAGGAGTTCAAGACCAGCCTGGCCACCATGGTGAAACTTCGTCCCTACTAAAAATACAAAAATTAGCTGGGCTTGGTGGCAGTCACCTGTAATCCCAGCTACTTGGGAGGCTGAGACAGGGGAATTGCTTGAACCCAGGAGGCAGAGGTTGCAGTGAGCTGAGATCATGCAACTGTACTCCAGCCTGGGCAATAGAACAAGACTCAGTCTCAAAAAGAAAAAAAAAAAATTACTTTAACCTTAAAACATGTTATCCTTGCCCATTATCCTCAGAATTATGTTTCTAAAATTCAAATCTGATTTATTTTACTTCTTTGCATTTAAAATTTTTCTAATGTTTCTTAATGCCTAAGGTAGTAATCTCTGAAGTTTAGAGATTACTACTTTAGGCATCAAGAAGTAATGTAGTAAATTCCCAGTCATGTATCTTTATTTTAAAATTGTAAATGAATTTACTAAATCACTAATCTGTTATGTACATTCTAAACATAAGTAAAAATAGAAAAATAAAAACGAAGCGAGAAATAAAATTTTAAATATTTTCATTTTACTTACAAAAGTGTAGAAAACTGTTTATATAGTAATTTACTTTTGGTGAAAGCAATATTGTTGAATAATATTCTTTATTATATTTATTAAAATTTTACTTTTAACAAGTGATATGGAAATTCAGAGGTCTGATTCTAAGTTCTGTATGTTTTGGTACTCGGTTTTAATGATTATCATAATTGAAAAGGATATATGTTTAGAAGATGTGAGCTAAGCTTACAAAATCATAATACTCATCTCTCAATTCTATTCATGAATTATATTCCAATTCATTTTGAAATTTAGCTAATAAATTTCCATCTTTTCTGATGTCAGTTCTTGTGGATTCATTGAAAAGTGCTTTGTTTTTAGATTAAAAAATAGATTTATAATTTCCAGTTACCCTTTAGTTGGTATTTTTAAAAACTGGTTAGAAAATTCAGCCAGGCGTGATGGCTCACACCTGTAATCCCAGCACTTTGGGAGGCTGAGGTAGGCAGATCGACCTTCCTGAGGTCAGGAGTTCGAGACCAGCCTGACTAACATGGCGAAACCCTGTCTCTACTAAAAATGAGCAAGGCGTGGTAGCAGGTGCCCTGTAATCCCAGCTACTCAGGAGGCTGAGGCAAGAGAATTGCTTTAACCCAGGAGGTGGAGGTTACAGCCAAGCTTATACCACTGCACTCCGGCCTGGGCGACAGAGCAAGACTCTGGTTCAAAAAAAAATTATAGTAAGAAGTTTAAATCTATAGATATCAATTATTTTGTAGTTTATACACGTACATCATTTTACGCCCCAAATAATATGACAATGGAAGTATTTCAAAACATCCATTTAAAAAACGTTATCTTTAAAATTTGAACATGTTATTTTGTTTCAAAATGCAATTTTTTTTTTCTTATTATTAAAATGCCACCTTTACCTTGAAGGACAGATTATGTTTAACTTTTGAAAGTATCTGCTAGGTGACATATGATTGACAGCCATTGTTTTGAAATCATAATGTAGCTGGAGATGAATTCATATTAGATGCAGAAGAAATGTCAGTGTTGCCATTTTTCTAGTGTTGGTGGTATCACCAGTAGTGTTAGTGGTTTAGTATTATCTTCAATATGTGGATCTTTGCAGTCATCTTTTTTAGCCACTTGCCTTTTTTGTAAGGATTAGTTTAACTAAAAGTAGATAATACTTAAGAATCCATGTGCCTGGGCATAAGACCCATTAGTTGCAGTTAGCGAAAGCATAGGAACTAAGAGTGCCAGTGTCATTGCCTTTGTGTTCTGGAACGCCAACTCTTTCATCTGTACACCTTACCTACCATCT